TCATCTCCTTTAAGTATTGCAATTGCATGATTATAATTTTGACTTCTGTATATTTTAATGTTATGCTCAAATTTTCTTATGGATAAATCCTTATCAATTGAAACGTGAAAAAAAGTAATTTTCAAAGACGTATTCCTACTTGGTCAACTCTATGACCCAGCAAATTATTGATTGTGATGGTTAAGGTAGGGAATTTTATTATGAATTTCGGGGTCTTCTCTTTGGGCTATCATCCTGGTTTTGGCTTTGTTAACTTGCTGAACTGAAGAAGCGCATTTTGAAAATTGAAATGTGCTGTGGGCAAAGCATGCAGGTTAGTATAGAGTTGTAGCTGAGGGTTCCAAATGGACAACATTTGATGATGTTGCGTCAATGTGTCCCCATGAAACAATAAACAACAACAAATTCTTGGCAGTTATTTAAATGAAAAATAGTTTGGATTGCAATATTACAATTTCACACCATTTGACATCCAGGGTGCTCAAAGATTATTAAATCCTCCTTTGACCCGCACCAGGAAGACTTGATTTTTGCGTACTGTGCGAGTTTGGAAATAGTGTCCTGAATTGAAAAGTTTCAGCAAGGTACTAGTGTGTGTGTGTGTGCTTGGGAGTGAGAGCATGGAAAAGTCGAGAAGATGGCAAATTGAAGGTGAGGCAGGTCCAAAGGCGAGAAGATCCAATGAGAAGAGAAATCGTCGACAAAATACAATAACAAACGGGCCTTAATAGGGCCCAGCAGGGATCTACATCCAAGCAAACGTAATGGGGAATTTCAGACAATGATTATGATTTTGGTGCACCAACAATACCAAGTGTGGGGCGTGTATATCCGATTCGATTTTATTACTCATCACGATCTTTACTAACCTACCTTCATAGCTAATTATATGCCCAAAGTAGGCATTGTCCGTTATATATATATATATAACTAAGAAAAAATTAAATTTTCACGGAAAATAGGGATCGTTGGTAATTCGTAGAATTGCTATAAGAAGTGGGGTTTGAAAATCGTTTTAAAATCTATTCAACTAGTATCACTTTACTTGTTTGTGTACTTTTTATTGTAGCATTTATTTTGTGTTGGATGCTGCTTATAGCAATTCTACGAATAACCAATGAACCCTACTTTCTGTTAAAATTGTACTTTTTTTTTCCTATTTATTTTTTCAGTTTTTATATGTCCGTGGAATGGACACAACATCTGTAAACTTTCAGTATAGCCATATCCCTAATAGCTATAACTTTTACAAGAATTAAAACGACAATTACAAATTTATAAAATTTAATTATTACTTTAGCCTACAGATAAGTGTATAAAGCTTCCAAAGTAGGGATTAGATTTTATAAATTTGTGATTGTGGTTTTAATTCTTGTTTCATTATTTTTTGTAGCAGGATCCCTACTTCATTTTAAAATTCATATTTTTTAAATACTCATTTCTTTACTTTTTATGTTATACCTGTATAAAGTATATACTTTACCTTTAGAAACTGTGGGGTACCTATCCATCGATATGTAGCGCCATCCCGTGGGTTGAATACATATTTTAAGTACGTGCATAATATGTTTACCATTTATATTATACATGTATGTATATATATATGGATTTTTATCGGAA